TTTGGTATTCTTGACCATTTATGTGCCATGTGTGTGAACTTGATATTCCATCCTTATTTGTGGATCGGGCCGATCGCCTCGGTATGAATAGATGCATCTATAGGCGCGTCGTCGACCCTCGGCAAGTGCACAGTTTATTTCTGTTGGATCGGGCCGTCGCCTCGGTATTATGTGCGCATGCTAATTGTGGAAAATCCTATACATGCTTTATTTGGCCATTATCTCATATGATAAATTATAAACTTGATGCTGTAAAGTTCTTGACTTATACCACTTGCCATAAACTGTTGATACTTGTAAATTCCATGATTTGAATACATCATACTTATATACATATATATTAATTGACCTTAGTAAGTATCGAGTCGACCTCTCGTCTCTACTTCTTCGAAATTAGACGGGATACTTACTGGGTACATATTGTTCATGTACTCACGCTACACTTCTGTACTTAAATGTACAGGATTTGAGGCAGGTGGATCCGGACATCACTCTAGTGCATATCAGTGAGCGCATCTGGGACTTCTACGGTGAGTTGCACTCCCTTCTTGCCGATCCGCAGCCGAAGAAGTCTTCCTTGTATTTTTTTTTTTTTGTTATTGTTTCTGTCTATCCTGATTCAGACGGTAGGATAGGGCATTATTCATTTTGTGTATATTCTACTAGTTGCCTGTAGCTTGTGACATCAGGTTCTGGCACACACAGTAGTAGACGTTATTTTGGATTGTATAACTGTCTTTACATTTTATTGATCCTTACTGGTTATGACTTTAATTGGGGGAAAAATCTATTATAATGGTTTTTGGTAAGGGTAACATGAGAATTTAATTATACTTCCGCGTTGGCTGGCCTGACAAATGGTGTCGGGCGCCATCATGACCTATTATGGGAAAATGGGTCGTGACAAATCATAAATGATTAAACCAGACCACAGAAACAGAATCAAATCCAAAAAATAGAAAACAGATCAAACAATTCAGATTTTAGGCTTGAACTTATTTTAACTATCAACTCAAAATGAACTCGACTACTAAAGAAAACAAGCCAAAACAAAGAAGAAAATAAAAATAAATAAACGAAAGCAGAAAATACTACAATGCATGAAATCAGTAAGAAAAGGGAGGGGAAATACCAAACTATCGGAATGTCTTGAAAACATGAAACACATCGAAGGGAGTGAATATTTGATCGGAATCTGATGGATTCGTCAAAATCCGGCATCCTCGGAATGAACTAAAACCAATGCTAATTGATTGCTCTCGTTAAGAGCAATCGACTAGCGTAGATTATAGGTCAACACGAGTCTGGGCTTGCGCGAAATCAGAAGAAGAGAGAAAATTAGGGCTTGAACTTTTTAGATTTGGAATTGGGGAAATTTTGTTGGGATGTTTGGGAAATAGGTGTGGGTATAGGATTTGGGAAGGCCTGGGGGTCACCCTATATGAATTTGGGTAGGTTAGGGTTCGAGGGTCCGAACTTCCATCTCAGATTCGAAGGGTTCTATGATGATTTGAAGGAGACGGGTGGTGGATTTGGTATGAGGGGACGAAGGGGATTCTATGGTATAAATTTGGTGAGGATTGGAGGTCAACCGCCGTCGCTGGCGATTTCCGGTGGGCGGCGGACAATGGTGAGAGAAGGGGTGTGAGGGAGAAGATGAAACACAGGTCCTAGGTTAATTTAGGGCTTTCGGACAGTTTTATGTAATTAGGATGAAGCCCTGATGGCCGTTAGATGAAAGAAAATGAAGGGCCCAGATTGGTTTTAAACTTCAAACTCAAAACGACGTAGTTTCGTTCCCATACTACGTCGTTTCAAGGGACTTGGGGCTGAAGGCTTGGACCGGGAGAGGGACTGGGTTTTGGGCCTGATCTAAACGGGTTTTGGGGAAATTAGTTGGGCTGTGCCAAATTGGCCCAAGAATCAACAGCCTTCTTTTGATTCTTTTTTCTTTTCTTTTCAATTTCTAATTTTTCTTTTTCTTTTCAAATTAATTTAAAACCTAAATTAACTTACCAAATTAAGCTAATTACACGTCATAGTATTTACAAGAAATAAATTAATTAACTCCTAAATTAAAAGAAGAACTACAAAATTTAAAATTAAAAGGTTAAAAATGCAAAGTGAGTTATTTTTTGTGATTTTTTTATTTTTATAAAACAACTAATTTACTAATTAACCTAAAAAATGTAAAATTAAATCCTAAATGCAAATGCAGAGTATTTTTGTATTTTTCATGATTTAAATAAAAATTAAACATGCACAGAAAAATGCAAATAATTAAGAAAATTCTACAAAAATTCCTAAAATGGCAAATAATTAAAAGAAAAAATTTATTTCCTTGGGATTTTGTAGGAGTATTTCGTATAAGGCAAAAATCACATGCTCACAACTATATTTCATTTCCTTCTTCCCAATCATCCATGGTAAAACCAAAGAACAAAGTTACTATATCTGTTACGGACTTCCACAACCAAAGACATTTCTTCTCTGCCACCTCTCTGTAATTCCTAATCGTCATCTTCCGCATCAAGAAAAGTAGTAGTCAATCGATATCAATTAACAATAACCTATGTTTGGGAGCCTTCCTTGTTATCATAAACTGTTTCAATCCTCAAATATCACAGATTAATCGAGATGAAGAGTAATCATTTTCAAAGACCACAGATCCAAAACCATAGATTAAATCTTACAAAGAGAATAAATAGAAAGTCAGAATCGAGAAAGAAAAGCCAAATCGAAAATACAAATTTGAATCTTACAAAGAGAAGAAAAACAAAAGCACATAAAGGCAAAATTAAGAATCACGGATTATTCTTCCAAAAGAGAAGAAAATAAAAGGCAAAAGAGAGAGAAAGGCCATATCGGGAGAAAAAAGAAGGGACCAAATCGCAGAGAGAGAAATTAGTGGGTGGAGAATGACCTAAAATCGTGTGTTTTGGGGAGGGGGGGGGGGATCTATTTGGGCTATGGGTGGGATAAAATCCGGTTTGGGATGTGCCTTATTTAATGGCCAATAAGAAATAGCCACGTGGAATTAATAAAATATTAAATTAAATCATAAGTTACCCGTTAGAACTAAGGGCACAACTATACAAGATTTTTAACGGCACGATCATTCTTAGCAAATAGGTTAACGAGGGGCATTTTTAGACTGGAGTTGGTACGTTAGGGGCAGTTTGGCCCTTTTCCGTATATAATAAGAGATAATTTGATTGAACAGTTATCAAGTCCAATGATGATACCGATACTGAAGATTACTTAACAAGAGAAATATCTTTATCACTAAATAAAAATACAAATTATGCAAAGTACATGATGAAAAGAGCTATTTTAGCTAACAAAACATAAATATATTAATCAATTAAAAGATATTTATCGCCAAGTCTCTGGTAAAAGCAGTTATTTCTTAGTTTCGAGTCTATGAAAGATATATCAACTATTAGTAGGAATATTTAAAATACTTTAACACCAAATGGTCTTTCATCACATGAGTTCCTTGCCAAGTTTATTATCGCTTATGTATGTTAGTGCCATGTATGTATAAATCAAACAAAGTTAATAATTATCTTCGTTTGCATAATATTGGTTTTGAAAAAAAAAATGTCCATCATGCAACTGAAAAATTTAGATCAATAAAATGACTTATGTAATAGTACAAGGGTGTTATACCATGATGGGTCAATGTACTTCGAAGTATGTATACCCATAATTTAATTTCACTTCCAAAAAAAGATATTCTTTTAAATGTGTCCAAAAAAAGACATTTTTGGTACACTTGTGCTTGTAAAAAGACAAACAATTCTAAATGTTAGACTGGTTTTGGAGAACTTATTTTTTTTTAATAGGGACGGTTATATGTTGCATTTTTAAGGTAATATCAATATCGACGACACGATTTTTTGTCATGATGGAGTCGTCAAAGTGTCGAAAAGAAAACGTACACCAAAAAATTGTCTATAGAGAAGTCTCAAGTAAGATACGATCACATTGCATATTTTTAAATTATAAGTCCAATCATTATAGATTCTAGTATTATGCTATGTAATAACATAATTTTCAGAATTTAAATGATTGTGCTATTTTTTCACATCAAGTGCTTAACAATAATTTTTTCCTCTTGTGATATATTTATAATTTTATCATTAACTGAATTTGTTATTCCTTCGTATTAACACTCAGAGGCGGATCTAGGATTTTTAGTACATGGGTGCATTACTAAAAAAAAGAAAAAAAAAATATTTTGTGGGAATTGATCCCTATTCCTCTTGATAGTTAACTCAACATTCAACCAAGTGCACCATTCAATCTTTTTGGAGAATGGGTGCCAACAGTTAATACTATACCAATTTTAAAAAATATGTACATAAAATATCTAATTTTGTGGAGACACCATGGGTTCACGTACCCCATATTTTTGCATGTAAATCTGCCCCCGTAAACACTTGAATGAACATCCACGTGCCATTAGTAACGTGCGGTGCACATTCTTAGAAATTAGTATTATCATACAATTATAAAATTTCAATATTAAATGTTGATGAATGCTTTTACCCTTTATCATTCGACATTCGCTAAAATTTCTAGTTTTAATAAACACTTGGATTTTGAAAAAGGATAAAAATAAGCGTAAGAGTTTGGCCACAAAAATATTTCAAGTTTAGCCACAAAAAAGATTTCACTTTTTTTTAAAAAAAATTATTTTTTCCAGAGTCAGTATTTTTTTAGTAACTAACATTATATTAATCACCAGGAATCAACATTACAACACCATAGCCAGTTTAACACAACTAGCTATCTAAAGAAAAAAAAAATCATCAAAAGCCTAAGCTGAACTAGCAAACAGTAATCAAATCTAGTTAGTCAAGCTAGAACAACATGCTATGTAACAAGTTTTGGACACCATGAGATGCTCTAACATTGGACAAGTAGGCAATCTCCCTAGCTATAATCTCCCAGTTCCTTGATTTCTTTTCGAAGATCCTCTAATTTCTCTCCATCTAAATGGCATAGACACATTCTGCATAGGCACTTATGAAGATGTGAGCTTGTTGAGTCCTCCCTTTTGCATTCTGGATTATCCAGGCTACATGTTGATCCCATCCAGTGGTTGGCCCTGCCTGCTTCTGAAGCCATAGGAGAATCACATTCCATACTGCTTTGGTGAAATCACACTCCATGAACAAATGATTCCTACTTTCAAGTTGAGTATGGCACATGACACATTCTAAGTCAACAGTTATGCCCCATTTTGCTAACCTATCAGTAGTGAGAAGTTTGTCTTGTAGCTGTAACCACATGATGAATTTGGCCTTAGGTCTAGCATCATTCTTGTACATCACACATTTCTAAGGTACTTTAGGGTAACTAGGTAGTTGTTGCTCATAAATTTGTTTGGTCAGGCTTCCTGGCCCCTTTCTTATCTGCACTTGTAACAAAGTCTGTCGAGCTTCCAAGATTTTCCTCATGATCCAACAAGCTTGTCGGGGAACTCTGGCTGTGGTGAGAGGCTGGCATTTGAGGTAGAACTCATGGATCCATTCGATCCATAATTTTTCATCCTTATGAGCAAGGTCCCAATGTGTCTTAGCTAGAGCAGCTTCAGAGTCAGTGTTTGGTCATGAAAACTTCAAATTTCACTTGAAGTTGAATTTTAATTTTTTTTGAAATTTGAAAAACTCCAAGAATGTAATAAAACAATAAAAGAAGAAGAAGAATATTGCAGAGAAAAGTAGGGAGAGAGAAATCTTATTGATTTTGGGATAAATTACAATGGAATAGAGCCCTCTATTTATAGGGAAAGAGTGACTTGGCGACCAAGTAATAATCCCTAAATCTCTCTAAATATAGACATTCACCATAAATATAATTCTATTTATAGCACTCCTCCTTGAATGTCTATTCAACAGATAATGTGCCTCGTTAAAGCAGTTAACTAAAATAAAACCCAGTGGAAAAAAATTCTAGAGAAGGTAAAAGAGTACACATATCTACAATACGCCTTTTGGTTGCCTCGTTAAAAACCTTGCAAGGAAAACCTAATGGGACAAACCTTGTAAAAAAAAAAGAGCACAACGCGTATTAACTCCCCTTGATGAGAGCATCAATTCACATCCTTGAGCCTTCGCATCCCAATCTTGTGCACCATCTTAAAAAGATCATTGGTAGAGACTTGATAAACAAATCAGCCATATAACTTGAATGAATTTGTTTCACCTTGAAATCATCATTCTTGATAGAGATGTATTGTCTTCGTATGATCTCGTTGGAATCGTCATTTCAATATCATCACATAGGGGCAAAAACTCATGCTATCATATTATCATACGTATAATTATAGCAGGATATATTTGTGCACAAATTGCACTGAGGATGTGGTACTTTAAGATCAAGAATTGTATGCTTTAAGCAATTTAAATCCTTTGGGGGTTGTCATATAAATATAGTCAAATAAGTCATTTAAATAGACTTTAGATGCATATCAACTTTTCATGTCATGCTAGACATATAAGATAAATAAAAGTGATTACACACACCATTGACTTTATACTTTCAAGTGTTTGAATTGCATGTCCAAAACGACATGTCTTTCATATGAAACCAATTTTACTTGAATTGTTTCTCTAGACTTAAGATGCTCATATATATTTAGCGCTATCATAGATGTTGTCGACAGACATTTTATATCGGTTCCAACCTCCTTATTTTTCATAAAGACATAACATAGAGATCTCTTCATTTATATATTCAAGTACTTGAATCTCTCATGAGATTTTATGAAATGTTATGTCATGTGACCTTCTAGATCACTTGCCTCCTTTATTATGATCATTTAGATCATTTGCTCATCTTCTTTATCAAGAAGTTTATTTGAAACCGATTTGTCTATACGCTTTAAGCGTAGCAAAGACTTTGTCCTTCTAGGACTTAATATGAGCATTTGCAATGAGAATATAATTACTTTCTTTGGGTCAGCAAATGCGTCTGGCATGCTTTGCAATATATTGCAAATGAATTATCTTTTTTATGAACCTCAAGTTCATATTATCTTATTCGAGAATCTAAATGTACAAATGATAATTCATTCCACGTAACTTTTTCTCAACTGTTTATCTTATCTCCCCCTTATGTTAGAAAAAACTATTTTGCTTCCTCAACTTTGAGATCTTTGTGCGTTATGGTGTTAATCAAAACATACACCGCACATCAATAATAATAATAATATAAAATTATTTGGTTCCTGATCCTGAACCACTTGTGAGGGGAGAATGTAATGTACTTTCGTATATAACCTATATCAAACTGATATAGATAACTTTGTTCTCATAAGCAATGGTTTAGCTATTAAGTGGAGGCACACAATAAATTATTTTGCTAAACCAAATGTGATGTAAACCAACTTATCAAGATGAACTTTTTGAATAGAAAATCTGAAAATTATGCTCGAAATTAAATTATTGAGCAAGTTACCTCGCAAACACCAGCCAGGTTGCAGGTTAATAATAATCGCACATGTAACCATCTCATAGATACATCTTATGTGGTATACATGGCAGGTGAATGGGCTCATATTCACCTTTGATATTTCCAGCATTCATGGGATTCTATCCCAATTTTAGTTGGTCTATTAATTAATAAGAACATGCAACATAAGAGAATTCGTAAAGAACTTTCTAGTTATTTAATATTTAACCCATGTGAATTCTCTTTTATTTTTGCACATCATACTTAAATTGATATGGCTAAATCAATTATGCCAACTAGATAAATTATCAATATTGATAAACTTCAGGTTTACACATGACATGTGCAATTATCAATAAACTCCAAGTTTATTATAATATGAGTTTTTATATCAATAAAATTCTACTTTATTGTGGCATTCTTTTATTTATGTAGTACAAATTGAAAAATAAAGCAGGTAGCTTTTCTCATACATATTACCCCGCTATAGGTTGTAGTAATAGAAGATATTAAAATTTTTCTTTATTTATAGTCTCAATATAATCAACCGCTTTCGCGTATACTTTGGAAACTAAATAAGGTTCTTTAAGACTTACTACAACAAAATGCCTTATTGGTAATCAATTGTGTTTCTCCAAAATAGTATAATTGGCTCTTGCAGAGTTCTCAATTAATTTTGTAGTACCACATATTCATCAACATCCATATGGTGAATATCTCTTTTAAAGAGAAAGTTATACCATTATGGTTATGGTCAAAATATGCAAGATCTGTTTCTTGCATTACCGTTGTCTTTTAATAATTACAATGCCAAAATATTTTGGCGTACAATAAGTACGTGACCAATGACCATTTATGCCATAATAATGACGTTATTTTCTTATTTTCTCTCAAACCTCCTTCTAGAGGTGAGTGTGACCACTAGCACACTCATATTCTTCCAAAAATGAGTATGCATTCATAAATCACATGTTGTCACATTCATATTATGAATGGACCATAATCATTGATATGTGCTTCATGTCAAATCGATGACAAACATTACTTTCACAGAGTGAAGGATTATTTTGAGAATCCTTATTATTCTCATTATCACAATGATGACGATTATAATTTCATCTATTGCCACGTCCACATCCATTAAAACCTTCGCGGTAATAATTTTGTCTTCTTTCAGACTTATTACATATTTCTACCACATTCTCTTAAGGGAATGAGAATGAAGCAAATTCAATGGAACGAGTTTTCACTTCTTGTGCTCACGATCATACATGACTTTGATCATGGCAAGACGTAGAAATTTTACCACTTCGAGTGGTTATAATTTCTTACTAACTCCATTAGAGTTATAATCAAAATTTATTGTCTTTGCTTGTATTTAAAATCAAATTATAGAATAAAAGAGAAAAATACGGCAAAATACATACCTTAAATCCAGAATTTAATCATGAAAGAAGTTCATGGAACAATTGACAATCATTATGCTCAATCCCAAAGCTTCTACTCAGTTGGCTAGAGTCTCATGCTGATAACATGTAATAAAACAATAAAAGAAGAAGAAGAATATTGCAGAGAAAAGTAGGGAGAGAGAATTCTTATTGATTTTAGGATGAATTACAATGGAATAGAGCCCTCTATTTATAGGAAAAGAGTGACTTGGCCACCAAGTAATAATCCCTAAATCTCTCTAAATATTGACATTCACCATAAATAAAATTCTTTTTATAACAAAGAAAGTATTTTCAAAACTTTTACTTCAAATCACTTACGGAAATTTAAAAATAGCTCGAAATTGTATTCAGGTCCAAACACAACTCTAATTTTCAAACACTATTTTCACTTGATTTTTTTAATTACTTTTTTCTTTTGGAAATTCACAATTCTTATGTCCTAATGCCAACTTAAAATGGCAGTGATTTAAAATATAAATACTTAAAGAAAGATTGAGCTAAAAATAAGAAAAAACTTTACATATAGAAAAGCTAAAAATATAAAAAGATCCGAATAGCTAAGGAAAGATGTTCATCCTTTTCAAATTCAAATAGGTAAGGAAACATGATCTTGTTCCATTCAAAAACTAAAAAGGTCCACTTGGGTATGATCCAACAAATATTGTCAAACTTCTCTATAACAGCTTCGTTTGTTCTAATAATTTTTGGCTACTATAGTGAAGTGTTGTTATATAGAATATATATTATAACATAATGTTAAAATCGGTTCCGAAAAAACTTGACTTTTATAGTGAATGATTGTTATATAGGAATACTGTTATAGAGAGGTCGTAACATTTTCACCTAACAAATTAAAAATAATGAATTTTAAAATATCTAAATAAAATGAATAAACTATTCATCTTTACAAGTTAAGACTGTATTATTTTGAACACAAGCATTCACAATAAAGATTTTTTGTGCACTTTAACTTTAACTTTATAATCCAAAATTTTTCAAGTATTTATGCAGTTAAGCATTTATTTATTTTTATGCATTAGAGAGAGGGCGCCTACTTTTTGGGCCAGAACTTTTTTGAATTTGCTATATCTTCTCTCTCTCTCTGGTAGGGTTTCAAATCAAACACCTAAAATAGAAATACAAAATGCAGAATTACACCACCAACTACTTCACTCTCACTTTCCCATTCATCTTCTAAAAATTCAAATCTAAAATTGTACGTACTAAAGATGGATTCGATAAAGAGCCTGTTGGCGGCAAGTGGGGCTGACACGGTGAAGCTATTTGACCTGTCATTGGAACCGCGTGATCCCTGCATTCTTAGCTACACTCCTTCCCCTGGCTTCCTTGTCAACTCCCTCAAGTGGAACTTTACTAGTCAGTTGATTCAATTTATTTTATTTCAAATATTTAACAGTTTTTTAGGTTTTAATTTTGGATGTTTTGATTGTTGTAGATTTAGTGGTAGCAAGCGCTGGAGACGACAAGAAAATATCTTTGTGGAGGAAAAATGGACAGAGTTTGGGGACTCTACCCACTGATGCTGGTGACAATATCGAGGTTCTTTTATTTTATTTACCTTTTTGACCTTTTGTTGCAATTTAAGATTATTTAGTTTTACCAGCATCTGCAAAATATGCAAGTTTAAACCTTTTTTCCCCTTCTTTTAAACACGATCAAGTTTAGTAATCGGCTGCCAATTATTTCAATGGATTTTGGCACAGCATTCTTTGTGAAATGGTGAATTTTGAGTGTAAAGATCTGCTGCATTGCCAGCAGTTTGGACAGACTATTTTTTGTTTTTGTTTTTGTTTTTTACCTCTATTTGCTGCTGAAATTTGCAGGAGGATTGGTGCTTTCATACGATAAATTTTCTTTTAGAATGCACAGGCACGTATTAGGGGTTCCAAAACTTAATAGCATAAACTGACCAGGCTGCATATGCAACATGGATCATTCTGTGCTGTGCTCATAATACAGAAAAGTAGACTAAAGGGAAAATAGAAAAAGATTTCAGTTGTTTTGCTGTAGTAGCTCCAATTGTTGATTTTTTCTCCAACGAAGTAACTTCGAATATTGACTATGATAAATTGTCCCACGGCCAGGGCTTTGGTCTAGTGGTAAGAGAGCAGTATGCAATGCATGGCTTAGGCAAACTTCACGTGTTACATGGTATTTACGTGGAGAAGGTAGATGGTTTGGCCCATTATCTACACCATTCACCATGGGCCCTTGGTGGTTTCTCGGTTATAAAAAAAGATTGATTATGATAAATTATGCATGTATCATTTAATACGCTGATGGTGTCGCTTTGATTAGTGGATATTGCACTCAAACATTCTCCAATAATTAGATGTCTTTAGGGGTTTCTCTATTTCAGGTGTTGAATGGTAAATTTTTTAAATACTGTTAAGAGTGTTATCACGCCAACTGCAAGGTCGCAGGTTCAAGTTCACTAAAGAAAGACATCTAGATGAGATCGTTCAAACCACAATAATTTTGTTAAGTGGAAGTCAAAATGATGTCATTTTTGCTAAATCAAAACAGCGTTTCTTGGCGTTGGCTTATCAAGAAATCGATAGTTTACTACTTTATTTACTGATAAAAAAAGAGTCTGTACTTTACATCTTTGTATATTGAATCCACTGTCATAGAATTTGTGTTTGCCTCTGGGTTTGAATGGGACAAAGATAGGGTTTAGTAGGATAAAGAAATGGATCCCTGAAGGTTCGGTTATCCTATATAGGTTTATGAAATACGGATGCTGGATTAATGTGTGCTATATTGCTATCCGTGGCAAAAAGGTGAAGACAGGACGATTGGTTAGAACAAAGTTAGCATCCTATCCCATCTGCCACAACCTAACATGGGTCTATAGTATAAGCCGTCAACATTTTTTTGGAGTCCACCTTGTTTAGTGGGCTATCAATAATCAATCAACTATCCACAAGTAGTTACTTTATATCACTTGCAGGAGTCTATTTCAACAATTAACTTTAGCAGCAAAGCATCCAGATACATTTGTTCTGGAGGCAGTGGTCAAGTTGTGCGAATATGGGATTTGCAGCGGAAGCGTTGCATCAAATGGTTGAAAGGTCATACTGATACTATTAGCGGTGTAATGTACAATTGCAAAGATGAGCACTTAGCTTCTATCAGTCTTAATGGGAATCTCATACTTCACAACCTTGCTTCTGGTGCGAAGGCTGCTGAACTCAAGGATCCAAATGAGCAGGTTAATTCATTCTTTCTAAGTCCTACTTTGCTGTAAAGCTGCAATTTGCTTTTGGTGTTTGCTATGATGCTTTGTTTTCTGACGCCATCTATCTTTGTCTGATTATCACAAGACCAGGTATTGAGAGTCCTTGATTATTCCAAGATTAGCAGGCACTTATTGGTGACAGCTGGTGATGATGGATCGATCCACCTGTGGGATACTACTGGTCGCATTCCCAAGGTTTGTTGTATGTCATTTTGGTGTTTTGAGACGATAAAATTTGATCTCGTTACGTCTCCTGCTAGTGCCTAGATCCGTCTTGGTTAAATGGGTTATCGGTTGAGAATTAGTACTAGGGAATTCTTTTCTTTCTCCTCGACATCTGCATGTGCAAGTCAAATCTCATCTGGCTAATTTGGTATAGGCACTAGGCTATGATATAGAACATTTCTGGCAGAGTTTTTTCTGAAACTAGCATCCACTATCCATTTGCAACTTACAGCTGTTACATCTCAAAGGGCTTGACAGTTTTAAGAAACTCATCACTGCTCTTTAGGGGTCTCACAGTGTTTTCCTCACGATAAGAGAAATTCTTCTGCTATAGGTGCTGTGACTGTTTGAAACACTATTCTTTATAGCTTGCGGACTTCCAAGATGGAATGTGAGCTTGCACGTGACACTGAATAATGGTTATGAATTTTCTGAAGTTTTCAGATAGATAATTATTTCGGAACCTCCAAGCCCCTGTCTCAATACATATTTTACTCACCTGCCGAAGTTGAGAACATGTCATTGTTCTTCCTCCGATCCTTCTCCACTGCTCTTCCTGTTCCTACTCTTCCCTCCCTTTATTTATTTGAAAGATGAGACGTGGATGTCCTTTTTTTTTTGATAAGGTAAAAGTTTTATTAATAAAGTTACCAAGAAGGTACTCAAAAATACAACCAAACAATACAGCCCCTACAACAATCTCTAGTTACATATTTCCAAGTGAGTTCAGAAATTCCATATACTGATCAATACTCTCTGGTGTACTCCTTTTACACCAAAAAGACAGATTTTGCAAACAAAGGTTCCTGACTCGAGATGTGGTTCTTTTTATTCTCGAAACTAGCACTGTTTCTCTCTGTCCAAATAGTCCAGAAGACACATAAAGGGATAGTTCTCCAGATCTGCTTTTGTATCCTTCCAATCCTCTGCCCTTTCCAGCTCTCCAACAAACTCTTAACATCTGATGGCATAACCCAAGCCACACCATCATCAGACATGCTTTGATGGCCATAATGGTTGAATTTTCCAAGTTCCTGAAACTTTCTTGCTTTGCATTTTGTGTTAATATTTTATTATCCTTTAAGTTAGTGGTTGACTTCTTTGGGGTTGTTGTCTCTCTCTTATACAGTTATATCTGTCTTGCCAGCTGTAAAATTTGTTTCGTTGGATAACTGGTAGTTATTTTTACCTGTATAGGTTTCTTGGCTAAAGCAGCATTCTGCACCAACTTCTGGCATTAGTTTCTCACCATCAAATGACAAGGTTTTCTCTATTATACTCATTAACTAGTACACCTATTGCATACCTGTCCTAGTGAAGAATTGTAAACCCTTCCTCAGGCCAAATGATTGTAAGCATTTTCTTAGATATGGTTTTACTCTTATGATTGCAGATTGTTGCTAGTGTTGGTATGGATAAGAAGTTGTACACTTTTGACTCAGGGTCAAGAAGGCCATCATTTTGCATTCCTTATGAGGCACCTTTTTCTTCACTGGCATTTACTGACGATGGCTTCACTCTAGCAGCTGGAACAAGTAGTGGCCGTGTGGTATTCTACGACGTTCGTGGAAAACCACAACCTTTGACTGTTTTACGTGCTTATGGAACTTCTGAGGTCTTTTATTCTTCTCTTCTTAATAAAGTATTTGTGTTGAGGATCAATTTCTCCTTACTGTGTACTTGACTCGTCATTTCATTACCTTGGTTGGCAAAACATGAGAAAAGAAAAGAAAATTAAAGAAAAGATTCAGTTCCTTATTACTAAAGGGTGGAGATACGTAACCATATAACAAATTCCATTTGGTGTGGGTATGCATATAGACTTTAGCCCACTTGTTGTCTTCAAATTATACCTTCCAGTGATGATAGAATTGGATATGCATGCAATGGTAAATGGGGCAAGAGGAGGTGGGGAGGAGATGAGGCGGACAGCTAGGTGATCCATGTGCCGTTGTGCGGCTTCTGCCAATATATGGCATGTATTGAGAGGTTAAAGATAGCCAGCATTTGCTTTGGGGAAGGGGTGGTCCACAAGCTGTTAATCACCTATCCTGATACACTCAGAATGCAGCAATAGGGTACAAAAGCAGCACCTCACTCAGTCAGGCATGACAGCCAAATTTCTGCTCAGTCAAAACGTGGAAAATAATTTAAGGCACTTCTCAATTTCCTGAAATTGAAAAACATTGTTAGGATATCCTTATTCCTTGTTTCTTCCTTGACTAAATGTTTCTTTGTGTCATTTGTTTAACTAGGTAGACTGATGTGTATAATCTGATTGATGAGCTGGAAGATGGTATGCAATGTTAGTTTTTGGGGTTTGTGTGGGGGAGCTGGTCTGAGAAGCTCTTCTTCTTTCTCTCTCTCTCTCTCTCTCACACACACACACACTCTCTCTCTCTCTCTCTCACAGCAGAACAACACAGCGTGGTGTTTCTTTATCTATTTGTATATCAGCATAAACAGACCAATGGTATCCATTCTGATATTATGCAATTATCATGTTCTGGTTGTCTTATATTTATATATATTGTTTATCAGCTTGTAAAATCCAGCTCTGTTCCTATTCTTGACACTAGCCTTCTTACTCTTATTTATTTCCTCTTACTAGTAAAGTCTGATATGAATTAACAGGCTGTGACAAGTCTATGCTGGCAAAGAGCAAAACCTGTAATGGTCAATGAAAACAATTGCACCACAGAAATAGCTCTTCTGGGCAGTGCTGTGGAGGATTCGATTTTAATGCCTGACCCACTTCCTGCGACGACATCATCAAGCCTATCAACTTCCATGACAACATCAGGTTCCAGAACCACTGTTCGTTCAGGTTCTGTGGACTCATTTTCTTTTCCAGCAGGCAATACGGGATCTACATCTGGGACACTAGGTTTATCTCCATCCGAGGAAACACCCATACGAAGTAGTTTGTGGAAAGGTGGATCTTTGACACGATTACACGCTCCTCGTAACTTCAAGGATGATATGGAAGTCTTTTCTCCTCTTAATGAAGTCCAGCCAATTACACCTTCACTTGATAAGTTTTGGGATGATCAGGAAGGTTTTAAAAAGGATCTTGATAAGAGATCATCTTTACTATTTCCTTCTCTAAGGTTTCCACTTCCAGTAGAGGGTGGCAATGACAACCGCCCCATATTTGATTGGAAATCAAGTTCCTTGCCCAAACAGGTTTGCATCTTGTCTGGTTGATGTACCTTGATTTATTTGCTTTTGGAGAGCAAATTTTTTCATTGTTTGCCGGACACTTAGTGAAGTTGTGAGTTGCTCTTCTTCATGCAGAAACTTGTTTTGTTAAAATTTTCTAAGTTGATTTGCTGCAAATGGTGTTTTCGATATACAGTGTTGTCAAAGGTGAAAAGCTCTAAGTAGCCTCCAAGTCTATTGATTGGGGCACATTAAGCGCAAAGTGAGCTTTAGTAAAAAAAGGCGCATGACAAAATAAAAAATATATGTAATTGAAGAAAAAGTAAAAAATTCATTCATGTTGTTTTCCTTAATACTATTACACTTATTTGCCGATTATATTTGTTTAGTACAACTCGACTCAAGATAGAGCTCATGGGCAATGAGTGTGCACACGTCAGTGCCTTGCACTACACTGAAGTGCAACTTAAGCGAGGTGAAACGCTCTCCACGAGGTTTTCTGAGCGTCAGGCTTAAGTGCACCTTAAATGAGCCTTTGACAACACTGTTGATATGTAGTTGAATTAAATAATTTTTTAACTCGCATCTTCTACCCAGATTCTTGGGTGCTAAATAATTTGTGAAGTCGGACCAAGAAGTAGCGTCAGTATTCTGATACTGAAGTCGATGACTTGATTAACATCAAATGTGCGAGTAATTTTCCTTTCTTGACAAGTATTTCATATCTTTGACATTCCTGCAGGAGGATACTTCTTCGGTACAGTTGTCTTCTACTCCTACATCTTTCCGTAGTGATGATTCTTCCTCCATAACTCCTCCAGAAGCTTGGGGTGGTGAGAGATTATCTGATAGATTATCTCACCTTCGGCATTCAGGAAACATGCCTTCTCGTTTTGCAACATCGACATCTGGTCCTCTTGCACCAGGAACAATGTTCTCTGGATTACAGGATACTTTTCCAGCAACTCAGAGTATCAGCTCTTTGAGCAATTCTAGTCTGAGTTTGGCAAATTTGCGCATTAAAGAAAATTCAAATGAAGAAACTTCTCTAGGATCGCCAGAAAATATCCCCTCTAGTTCCACATCTTTTTCAGTTGGAACAAAAGGCATTACAGGGCAGGGTACTGTTGATTCTCTTGGTTCAACTATGACCCTTCCAAGGAGATTTTCCAGTTATGCTGAGAGAATAAGCACCAAGCCGTCCTTCAGTGATGGAACCCTTTCTGTTGGTTCTCCAAAAACTAAGAAAACTGGAGCTGAAACAAGGGGGGAGCTTCTGAATAGCTTGTTGTCTAGGTCTGACACGTCATCTGCTACAGCAGCTGGTGCTTTCCAAGCAATGAATGTATGAAACAGGAAAACCTGGCTGTTCCTCTTTATCTTAGGCGTCATCTGTTATGATTCATCATGGATTGTTTTCACCTTTGTGTTTTTCGAAGAGAATCTTGGAAGCATGAGCTGGTGAAAAGAGCCTTAATGATGAATCATTCCAAATGCCATAGGCTTATCTTGTCAATAGAAAGTTTTCATTTGACCTATGAATTTTTACAGGGTGAAGTCAGACAATCACAAACATCCACACTGCCTGAATTGCAGCAGGGAAGTTCCTTCCAACTCCAGCTGTTTGAACGTAAGCAGGAAGAAACGTTATCTTTCATTCAAAGAACTGTTCATGAGCAAATGAGGAATCTTCATTTAGAATTGATAAGTCAAAATCATATGCTGCAGGTACATTTCTTAAGTTTGTACTATCTAGTTCTTTGGTTGTATAGTATCTGTAACTTAGATTTGGAAACATATACAGATGGAAATGTCTAGTCGTTATAACTTGATCTTGGACAACCAGAAGGTTCTCTTTGATCGCCAGACTTTGATATTGGAAAACCTAGCGGAGCTGATGAAGAGGTTCAATTAGTTTGAAGAGAAACACGGAAGCTTCGTAGCTAGAGGTCCTGCTCTAAAATAAGTAGGTCATTTTCATTATGTATTCCTTAGTTTTAGCCATGTACTGCAATGTTGTTGTGAGAGACTTGTATTGACAGGCGTGTAGTAACTAGAGAGTGGAAAGAAGTGTTATTGTGTGTATCTAAATGTGGGGAGAATTTTTGGGTTTATTTTGTCCTAATATAGTAAAAGGGAAAGAGAGAGCGAAGGCTTATCAATATTTGAGAATTAGAGCGTTGTATGGTTATGTACAGAAGTTGGATACGCCAATTTAATTTAATGTACAGATCATCTGATTCACTTTGATTAGCATACTTCTTAGTTGAGCATTCTCATCTTTGTACCAGGTTATGCAGCTTTCTTTAGTTCATTACTCTCAGTTTTAGATAATCCCCAAGTCTTAAAATGTCTAGTTTCATAAGCAATTAGTTATAGTATGATAAGTAGTAGTACTAATTGGTTTTAGAAATTGTTTAATTAATGCAAGTAAAATGAGCACGTATTACAACATTATGTGATATTTATAAGCAATAAGTTACGTCTTCCATCTAATTTATCCTTTTAGAAGATAACGGAGTTTTTAGGATTTCATATGTTTAGCCTCATAGCCAAGAAATGGGTGAGATGTAAGGAAGCATGCAACTTCTCTCTTGTAAAATATAGGTGCATAAAGCAGAATTTGAATGCCGGAAGTGAAAATGGACGCAAAACATTTTAAAGATGGAGAACACTCAAGTAGCAGCCATGGTGCTTAAATCTTCATGATCGCTGAGAGTGGAGAAATATACTTAGGATCTGTAAAACTAGAGTTTCTCCTTCTTTCTTTATTAAGTACTTTATTGTAAAACTTACGATTGTTGTGATAAATCAAGTTTGAAAGCTCATTGGCAACAAGATAGCTTAATGTTTTACCGCCAGTTTTTTCTTTCCGTGTAATTTGCTAAGCTTAAAGTTTAGTGCTTTGTGATTTTGTCGACATATCTGGCGTCTTGTCATTCCTAAAGCACTTGGAAAGTAATAGATTTCATCAAGTACAAGCCGATATTAGCACTAAAGCAAATGCCTTTTTTTTTTCTTTGAAGAAACACGGCCTTTTTGGGTATTCATACAAGAATAATTTAACAAGTGGGAGTGAGTAATATTGATATTTGACAAATAAGGAATGCTTTTGAATCCATCAATCTTCAACCGGTAACCAGTTCCCAACTCCCCATACTAGATTCTAGATGGAGAAACACCATGGTCCAGTCAAGCTTAGAACTGACAACTGAAGAAGCAAGCCAGTACAAGTTCCAAAAATCTGTATGCGAAGGGACTGATGAAGATAACCAGGATACATGTCTATACTGATTTGCGTAGGAAACAACCTAGGTACGACGCTAATATAATCAACAAAACAGAAGCACTAAGAACCGACGTCCTAAAGAATATAAGACACCAAACGAGAAACAGAGCTAGGGGCCTATTAAAGGCCAAGAACTATGTAATCGATAACCGGAAAATTAGCTAATTTGACAATGCAGGCCATAAATCAAGGCAAGGCAGATGACAAAAGAAAACATACCAAATGAGACAGAGAAGAACTCAATAGTCAAAAGATGGTAAGAAAGGGAGTATAACATTAGAGATGATACTCTCTGGAAATTCCATGAGAGAATAAACTTACACTATTGTAGCAAAATATGCAGGCAAAGAAGACAATAACTAGAACTAGCTGACAAAGCATAATGAAACAAAACTCCCAATGGACAACTCTAATATATGGGTGTATTGAATTCACCAAAGACTTGGATATCTCATGGTAAAGTAACTTTATCAATGATAGACAGTAAGATGTAGCCAAAATAACATTACCCTACTAAAACATCAAGAACTTATGGGATAATTGTTCACAGGAAGTAGAATCTATGCCTCAATGAATTTCTTCAGATTCTTAAGCCACATCACGTATTCCCTGCCGTCCTTGTTGATCATGTACTCGTGCAAGAAGTTAGTTGCGCTGGGTTTGATCCCCCTAATCTCCAGATACTTGTGGAAAGCCTTTTGGAGGTTTTCATCCAAATCCCTAATCGAGAAAGCACATCTTCTATTAGTATACCAAACCAAAAAAAAAAGACTGATATGGATGTAAGCCAGCCATTTTAATAAAATTTCAAGACTTACGAGAAATCAGGTCCTTCATAAGCAATCTGATCCTCAGAAGCATTAGGATCTTTGATTGACAAAGTGTCAATAGCAATCTCATCAGCAAAAGCTGTGCAACCAAACTCCAAAGAAGGTCCATTCTTCTTAGACACCCTAACAACAAGAGGAATTTGAGACTGATTGGCCCTTTCTCTATCATCGTCATCGTTGTCATTCTCATCTTCATCACCAGTAACAAGGTCAGGCATGTGAACTTCGACATCAATAGATTCACCTTGATACTCTCTTGTCAATGTTACAGTCTGTTGTCCCAGATGGTCTTCAATCTTGAAGGGGAAACCCTCAGGAGCCTCCTCAACCTGCAATCATAACAAAAAATAGTGATAATAGTCTTAAGTCTGCTAATGTAGTACTAGCACTTTTTTCATAAAATAAAAAACAGCATAAATTTTAAAAATTTCGAGTAAATTATACTCTAAATTTGCTTTTTAAGGTAAAATTACTCCAAAACTGGGCGTTTTTCTTACAGGTGGAGGGAGTAAGTTTAAAAGAGAAAAACAACAGTCCTTGAAATAAATAAATTTCTCCATAATTAAAATTAGTCTATACCAAGATACACATAGGAACTGAAAACCAGAGACAAATATTATGAATCCACAAATTACAGCGTAACTATTACCAAACGAAATAAGGTCAATATGTACTACTAGACAATAACTCAAAACCTTCTTTTTACTCATTTAATTAACTTTCTATTCAAAAAACAAAAAGAACAGAGAAGAAATATTAGAATTCAATTTTTCATTTAACATGAAGGTAAAAAAAAACCTCGTCATGTTCGTCAGATTCCTCGGCACATAAGATTTCGGACTGAATGACTTTAAGGAGTGACTCATCAGAACTGGGCCGCTTTGTCGAATAGCAATGAAGGGTAGAGGGTAATGAGCTTCGGAAGAAATTTCTAGACGCAGCTCCACGGTTTACTACGGTGGAGAACAGAGCAGAGGATCGATGGTGGTAGCTCTGAGTCCTACCGATGACTCGAACAGCTAAAGGTACAACTTGAGAAGCTGTTCGTCTAATTATGTTAGTGACAGCCATTTTTGGGGATTTTCAGAGGGGTAAGAGATTTCAGGGTTTAAGGAGAAAGGGAGGCTTGGGTTTTAGGGTTTTGGCGACATGTTATAATAGGGGGATTGTGGACTTTTTCGGCAATTTGGAACTTGAAGTGGGGGTAGAATGGGAAGTGCAAATACGAGCATAAGACTTTTAAAAAAATCTTTCCAACTCTATGTGTTCTTTGTTGTACTTGTTATAAATAGAATGGTATTTAAGTGAATGTCTATTTTATTTGTGTTAAAGTTATTTTTATCCTATAAATAGAGGGGTTTATCCCATTGTAATTTATCTCTTTTTTTTTTAATATTCTTCTTTTCCTTTATTGTTTTATTTCACGTTATCAGCACGAGACTCTACCGTCTCAAGAAGCTCTTTGAGAAGGCTAACGGTATAATTTTTCTCCTCTTTTAACTATGACTGATATTATGAAACGAAAGTTCGTTGCCCTTGAAATTTCGGGCAAGAACTATATGTCATGGGTGTTGGGTGCTAAAATTCATTTAGATGCAATAGGTCTTGGAGACGCCATTAACGATGAAAATAAAGATCTACCCAAGACTGTCTATGGCCTTAATTTTCTTGTGTCATCACCTTGATAAAGGGTTGAAATAGAATATCTCAGTCAAAGATCCACTTATTTTGTGAAATGACTTAGAGGAAAGATATGACAACCTAAAGTTAGTCACACTTCCACAAGCACGATATGATGATTGGGCTCATCTGAGGCTCCAAGAGTTTAATTAGTCTATTTCTGAATACAATTCGGCGATGTACAAAATTACTTCTAAATTGAAGCTTTGTGGAGATAATATCAGTAACTATGATATGCTTGAAAAAACATTCACAACGTTTCTCCATGTCTCCAGTATGGTCCTACAACGGCAGTATCAAGAGAAAAGTTTCAAAAAACACTCCGAGATGCTTTCTGTTCTCCTTGTGGCTAAACGAAATAATGAGTTGCCCATGAAAAATCACGATAATCAACCTACTAGGTCTACACCATTACCCGAAGTGAATGAGGTATATTTCCATTATGCTAAGCGTGAAAAAGGTTGTGGCCCTGTTTGTGGTCGTGGCCGTGGACATTGCCAAGGAAGAACTTTTTCTAGTATTAATCATCCCCCAAAGAAAAATAGCCACCAAAAGTGGAAAGGGAAAGATGAGAAGCCAAAAGCAAAGGAATCAGAAACTAGATGTTATCGTTGTAGTGAAAAAGGGCATTGGGCAAATATTTATCGTACAACAAGACATTTGGTTGTGATTTATCAAGCATCTAAAAAGATTTAAGGCCTTTGTTTACCCCAAAAAATGGATAACAATTAAATTTGTAAGTGGTTTTAAGGATACGCTGATTAATTCGATACAAATGATAAATTGCGTTTGATTAAATAAATAAAGATGTAGTAAATTCAAACCACGCGAGGAAGATAATTTTAGCCTCAATGAAATATCCATCCCGATCAGGGCTCACAGAGACTAGCACTGATGAACAAGAATAAGAATAAAGAAAATAATAATATATTACCTTGGAATGCATGTTACAATGGCTGTAATAAATAAATTAGACCCCCCTTTATATAGTAGGGGAATCCTACTCTAGGTACATTTCCATAAAAGGTAAAAAATCTTCTATTCAACTAATCACCGATACGTGCCGAGATTCACACCGTGATATCTGGCCAGTTGCGGATATAACGGCCTACCGTTGGTCGTGCTTGGTTGCTTGACAATTTTCTTCGAAGCCTTTTAGGATTTGGACCGATCCCGGATCATGCCCCAATATTCCCGAGGGTGGCGCCATGCCATCGGACTCTGACTCGATGAGACCCTTGCCTCAATTTCGGTCCCTTGTCATCATGTCTCTAGCTCGATTTATCTTATCGGAGGCCGGGGTGTATCATGAGCTCGGTTTTACCCGTATATAGATAGTCCCCTCGTTTCTCAAAGAGTAAGTTTTACGGAAACGACGAGGAACGACATAAGTTCTTCGATCTCTTCTTAACACGATGTGACACAAAACGACAAAGAAATCGAAATGTCCCGTCAGTCGTGTCATAATGACTCCTAACGCGTGTCAGCCGCCGGCAGGTCGTGCCTGAATGCGAAATGGCGCCAAGCCCCTATAAATACCATTTCCTTTGTTCATTTTTTACTTCTGACGAAGCTTCTACCCCTGATCTTCTGAGATATTACCATCTTCTTTCATCCCTCAATATTCTTACCTTCGTTTTTCAAGTTACAACCTTTATCTTACCCCTTTCTTAGGCCAGTGTGCTTGTTTTTATTAGCAATTTTTCATCCTCCATCTCCTCATTTTCCTTCAAAGTTTCAAACCTCTTTATCCAGATAAAAGAAATGGAAAAGACTTCAAAGACCATTCCGCAGAAAGATGCTCATTCTTTTTCGCACCCGACCACTGAGGTCGAGCAGACCAACCCGGGGGAGGCCATCGATGAACCGGAAGCCGAGCCCCCTTGAAAATGTTCATCCCCGGGGGTGTTCGGTCAATGATGACTTCAAGGTTGAAAAATCTTCTTCGGTTCAAGGCCGATTCCAGGCGATGTCACGATACGACTGCTTTATTATCGAGGTCGTTCTTCCTGTAGTTCGAAAGGACTGCGGTTGGGATGTGGTGATTCCCGGGCCCGATGACGATATCACTACACATGTTGAGGGATATTTGACTGTTTACACTTATCCCTTTACATTGGGCCTGGTGGACCCGGTCATCTTGGAGTTCTGTAGGAGGTACAACATATGCCTTGGCCAAATCCACCCATCGCTGTGGAGGATCGTGATCCTCCTCCGATTCTTTATGAACAAAATTGATGCGTGCACGTTCACCATCGATCATATACTCCGCTTATACAGTCCCTGAATCTTCTGAGGGGGACTGATAAAGCTTGTACGCTGGCCCAGCAAAGCCCCATTTTCAAGTATCGACGAGGATCGGGATCGGGGTTGGCAAGGACGCTTTGTCCGGGTGAAAACCTCCATCCTAATACTAACCGAGTGGAGGCCGTTCTCCGAGAAGTGGAACGTATCGCGTAAGTGCAACTTCCTTTTAAACATTGATTTTGTGTCTTGCCTTCCTTTTTCTTACCGGTATTTGCTATGGTGCAGCCCTTGCTCGAGTCCCAAACGCTATTCCTCAGCTCAAGGAATGGATCGGGGGAATTTGTTCGCAGATGCCTTATGCCGAGCTCTCATGGCGCGAGCTCTCAAAGGGTCACTGGGAGGCCCAATCTCATGGTAAGATTTCTTTTTCTGAATAGGCAACATTAGACTTTCTTTTTCAATACTATGTCTCCATTGCTTTTTTTTCCCCTCGTTTTTGCAGGCTTGCCTAAGACCATTGAGCTTAGGCCCTTGGTAGGGGGCGAGGATCTACCCGTCGATCTTCCTGCTACGGGGCAGCCTGGAGCCACAGCTGGAGAGAAGAAAAGGAAGAGGGACCCCGAGTTCCCCGAGCTCGGAGAAAAAAAAACCAAGGAAAAGGTTGGCTCGTAAGCCAAAGGAAAGTTCCAGATCCTGAGTACCTGACTCGGACTTACTTTACCGGCTCAGGGCCAAGCCCAAAGAGGATGAACTTTTTGTGGCCCGTGAGCCGTCTGTCCCTGGGGAGAAGGTGGCAGCCGAGGGGGAAACAACGGAGGCTAGTCCCCCTCAAGTAATCGAGGTTGGTGCAGCGGCAATGGCCGAGACTTCTCGAGATGCCGATTCCACCCCGCCCGGTGTTATAGAAATTTCAGGGTCACCCTCATTCACAGAGTCAATGTTTGATGAAGCCCGAGCGATGAAGGAGCGATCCAACGAAGGGGTCCATAGAGTAGACGATCCCTTTCGATAATTCTTTGATGGCGTGGACTCAATCGCTCTGGAAGACGTCACCGGGTTGGGTGACTTAGCGGTGCCGAGGAAAAGTTCATCCTCGGAGGTTGGCTGGCCGAACTTGAGACCGAGGATGATTAACCGGTTCCTCGCCTCGAGCACGGATCCTGGTTGGAAACGATCAGTTGTTATCACCTTTTCGGAGGATGCCCGGGTTCTTTCTGCCCCTGTCGGGATAGCTAGTTACCTCCGGTGCCTGGTAACCGAAGAAGACCAGGCAAAAATGAATGAGGTGGATTCGCCTTGCTTGTTCAACGAAGCACAACTGGCGCTGAACCGGGTAAGGTGTTATCACACTCTTTTATCTTCGGATTCGGTTTTTGAGGACCCTAATGCCTTTTTTTTTTCTTATTTTGCAGGCCTCGGTGCTTCACCATGAAACCTTTTTTCGGTACCGGGATGAGCTTGGCCAACTCGAGGCCGAAGTAAAAGATCTTGCTGAGAAGAGGGACATGTATAAGCTTCTCAGCGAGCAACGTGAAGGAGAAGTCAAGAGCCTTCGAGCCGAGTTGGATGCGGCTCAGAAAGAACATGCCATCTTGGTGAAATAGGTAAATATTTTTGAAGTTAGTGATGACGAGATAGACATGGCGACTAATAGTCAAAACCCGCAGGTCCAACAGAAGCTTGACTGGATCAACCAACTCCGAGATGGACGTAATCAAGGTTGAGGCTGAAGAGTGCAAAAGCAAGATGGATCGCTTGGCTTCGGAAAGGAGACTACCCGGGAGTAGCTGGCCTTGGCGGAGGCCCAACTTCGAGCGGAGAGGGAGAATGCTGAGGCCCAATCCCAAAAAATTGAAGACCTTCAGTCTCAATTGGGCTCGGCTGTCGCCAAACGGGATACCCTTGCCAAGGAGCTTAAAACAGGGCCCATGATAAAAAGATGGTGACCCAGTACAAAGCTGATGCCAAGGCAGCCCAGGACCGCCTGGAAGACATTGTCAAATATGTGAAGTGCCAGTCCCGAAGGGAGGCTCTCGAGGAAGTTCATGCCTGGGGTCTCGACCTATCGGCCGAGATCGAAAATACTAAGAGGCTCGAGGCCGAGGCCAAAAAGTGGGCATATCCCGAGGACGAGGAAGGCTCCGAGGGTTCCGGAGGGTCTGAGGGTGCAGAATACCCTGATGGTCCCGGTGACGAGGCGGGATCCAGCAAAGATCAGGCTTAGGTGCCTTGTAGATTTTTCTTCATTTTTGTACTTTTGTATTTTTTCTTGATACACACACACACACACACACACACACACACAAGGCACTTCCTTTTACCCCTTCGACAATTTTCAAGTTTTTTTTCTTTACGATTGCAAAGATTTCGAATGCCTTAGCACGTAATATTAAGGTCTTGTTTGGAGGTTCGAACAAGGCTCGTTCTCGATGTAATTTTGCTTAAGACTCGTGGGGGCTTGGTATGACTGGATGCTTTCCCTGAAGTGCTTACTTAGAATTCTTTAGATGATAATTTTGCCGAGGGTTAGCCTTTCAACCGGTTTGCAAATTTTTAAGGCCTTATGTTTTGGTTATGGGTTTCGGATGTCTCCGAGCTGTTTTTAGGATGGTCGTAGCCTTTTAATTTTGGGTTCTGTCCAGTAGGCTTATTACCCCGGGTTTCGATACCCAAGCCGTCCAGGCTTACCCAGGATGACAGTCCCCGAGTGGGGGTGGCCATTGCCTTTAAGATTTGGGCATTGCCTAATAGGTTTTTGTGCCCCCGGGCTTTGACAACCTGAGCTGTCCGAGTTTGTCTTGGATGACATTTCCGAGTGTGGGTGATCTCTTGGATACGGATAGAGGTGACCCTTGTGCTTGATGTCCTCAAGGAGCAAAATGTAGTAGTTTTTGGGAGACAAAATATGTATCTGCAAGGTAGAAACTTTCTTTCATTTCTGTGCGCAACATACAGGATTGTAAATTTGTACAAGCTTCGTGTTATGGCTTATGTGGTCTATGTGGGCACGGTTCATTTGATCGTTTGGCCCTTACAATAAATCCTATCCACCGAGCCTAGATTGTTCGAGCATGAAGTTTCCTTCCTTACTAAAATCATTATCCGAGGGTGATGGCCCCCAGTATTCGAGGCCGATCGTAGAGAGGGTTCGAATACTATTGAGGTGATCTTCGACTTCGGTGCATAATCGGTCTTTAATTCTAAGATTACCACGATCCACTGTTGCCTCATTAAAAACCTTGCCGGAAAACCCATTTGGGACAAAACCGGTTCAAGGGAAAAAGAATGAAACACGTGCTTTCAGGCCTAAGAGTTGCACTATTCCTTAGCCGTTACCTGCAAGCGTTAGTCCAATTCGTAATATATGTAAAGAAAAGTAATGAATGGGGTCGTACCTTAGCATTAGTATCGTTTTATGTGGGTTACATTCCAGTTGTTCGGTAGCCTCT